GAAGACATTTAATGAAAACTGAGTTGAAATCGTGACGTAGAAGTGTGCTTGGTCTCACGTAGTCTCCACTATTCCCCTCACCCCCTGCTGAGTCACGCTTTCTCGTAATATATATATATATACATATATATTATATATCCGAACAAAGCAAACTCGTAAATGTACAAATCTGGCCTAATAGAACTCTTGCCATTGTTTCTTTGTTCGGCTTTAATGCAAGTGCAACAGATTTGCTTTTGCAATTGTTGCACTTGCTCGGGGCCGATTCCACAGAGCTATATAACTTTTAATTTATGCAGTTAAATGTGGCTCAGTGTGCGTGTGTGTGTGTGTGTATTCGTATTCGCTTTTGTTGCTGTTTTTTAATTTTCCATAACTATTGCATTTTATACGGCAATTAGCGTAGGTAGCGATGCTTTGTGCGCATTTTGATCGCAGTTAAGATTGTTTCCATGTACGAGTATTAGCTGTAATTTTAATACGGCTAATGTCGTGACATGGCCAATGCGGAAAATGTCTAACTAATTATTTTAGTTTTTCTACTTTTTTTTTTGCATTCATTCTCATTTAGCAAATGATCAAGTTTAATTCTAGTGAATTTTTTTATAATTTCACAGAATCTAAAACGAATTAGCTCGCAGAAGGCAACTAGTTGAAGGGTATTTAATATTGGGCTAATGTTATTAGTCAAATAAGAAAGTATTTCATAGGTAGAAATATTAAATATTATGTACGCATATTGGGTCGTATTTTAAAATGTTCTATGACAGCGCAAGCCAAGTTCAAGTCTTCCAAGTTTCTTGAACTAATTGCATTGAATAATTATTCATCCAAGTTTTGTCTCGTATAGGTCACGACTTCCTGATGTCAGTTAGCAAATTTATTCAAGTTTTATGCCAGAATAAGACGAGGCATTCGATCGATGTTGGAGCGTTTCTGCTGCACAAGACTTGGCTCCCAATCAAATGCAATTCAAATTGATGGACGAGCGGCAAAATGTTGGCAACAGGCGTTGAGAATCAATTGGCTGCAGAGCAGGGAGGAAGATAGAGAGAGAGAGAGAGGGGGGGGGGGGGGTATTAGAGAGAGAGAGAGAATCATGAACTGATGCAATTCGAAATGAAAGTTGCCAAATCGAGTGCAAGACTTGCGTCAAATCGAACAAATTAGAAAATGTGTGAAAAGCCAATGAACGCAGCCAATTGCCAATGCTAGAAAATTGCATCCGAAAGATACAAGAAAAACAAGTAGGAAAATATGAACAATTTTGCGATTTTTCATTTCAATTTCATGTTTGCCAATTCTCGTGCCATCTTTCACTTGGCTTAGCCTACGTGCGCTCGACAGGCCTCGTGCATCTGTATCTGTATCTGTATCTGCAAGTGTATCTGTATCTGTATCTGTATCTGTATCTGTATCGCAGCTGACAACTAGGAGGGAGCCCGGCCAAAAGATCAAAAGATATTGCTGTAGTCTGGCGGTCGGCCCGAGCGGACATGGGCAAAACATTTTCTGTCTTGTTTCTCTCTCTCTCTCTCTCGGTCTCGCTGTCTCTTTCTTTCGCTTACACCCCCTCCTAGCAATTCTCGCTGTTTACTATTTTGTTTTTAATATTTTTTCTGTTGCTTCACTCTTGTGTCCCATTGACGTTTGTTTACAATTTGCGTTTTTTTTCTCCCGCTTTTCTCAAAATAATCATTTTATTTTTGATCGCGCTCGACTCGCCTTTAACTTATCCAAGCAGACAAACAAGAGTCGAAATACTCGGCCAAAGATAAGAACTTTGTCTACATATGCTAAATAAAGCAATGCTAGACTTAATCAATTCTACTTTGTATAGATCTATAAAGTTTTAAGACCTTTCGAAACCGGATATCAACTTGAGATTATTGCGACAATAAACTGAGATAAAGGGAAACTCATTTTCAATTCGATAAGATTACATTCAAATCAAATGTCGACAGCTTGGTAACACAGCTCGTTAATAATTTCTGCCTTTGGTCACACTCTTTGCGAGTAAGCAGCAAGCATTTGCTCAGTGTGTGCACAATATTTTAATTTTGCCTGCGTTTTTATATTTCTATCAATTTCATATCTATGGCTGTGTAATCAATGCAATTAGGGTTCAATTTTAATGTACACACATACATCATTATATGTAGCTGCATCTGTATATACAAACATGTGCCCAGTGTTGATTAGGGATTGAAATTCTCAACAGTTATTTCCAATTGAAATGTTTTCACTTAATTTTATTTTCATCTTTCTATCGCTCCAACTCTTTCGCTCTTTGAACTACACAAGGGAAGACCTTTGGCCTTTTACCTAATCGCAGGCCCACAATTTTCGAACCCTTTGGCCACATTTGCGTTTATTGATCCACTGAAAATGTAACTTAATTTAAAAATTGTTACAATTTTGCGTAAATTACACGCGAGCTTCGGCCAATTTTTGCTCATTGCATGCGCCCAATTAATATGCCTGTGTGTGTGTGTGTGTGTGTGTGTGTATATGTTTGTGAGCACTAGCAACACGGCTGCTCTCGCGCTCCGTCTCTCCATCTCGCTCTCTCTCTCTCACTCTCGCACGATCTGCATATGCAGCCTGTGCATGTGTGTGTTGGTTAATTTAACACGCGCACACGAACGCGCGTATGCAAATTGTTGTGAGGCAGGTCGCAAATAGCGCAGCGGCTTTTTCTAGCGCCCGCAAATTGTTCAAGAGCATGGATACGGCTAGAAACGGCTATAGCTATAGCTAAATAAACAGCTGAATAGCTACATATGTATGTGTGTACATAAGCATGTAATAAACGGGCTATCGGTCGTTGCGCCACACACATGCACATGTGCATATACGTATACATACACACATATATGCAAGTGTGTACACATGCTTGTATTATAAGAGGAAAAACTATAATAAAATCAATGTGTGTAGATGCAGATACGACAACAACGTGCCACATGCTGCCACTAGATGCATGCATGTGCATATGCACATACATACTTTAGTATGCAACGTTGCCGTATGCCTGAACCTGCCCCTGCCCCTGCCCCGCCTGTGCATCAACAAACTGCACTTATTTATTGTTTGTCGTAAACAAATGTGCTTTTTATATATACATGCATATACATACATACATGTACATATATGCATATGTATATTTCTTTTTTGTTTTCAGCTCAGCTGCGCTGCCTGCTCTCCGTGTGTCCATACATAAATTTGTATATATTATATGCACACATGCATACACAACACTTACAATACTACCTCAACCCGTTTGCTGTTTGTTCCTCTCCCTCTCTTTCTTATTCGCTCTCTCGCTCGTGAGCCAGAATATAGAGCGCCGCGCTCAGCGACGATCGCTGAAGAGCGCGCTTTCAACTCTCTCAATATAAAGTTACTCAAGAGCACGCAACATTGCTCTTTGTCTACTTAAACCACATAATTTACTTATAATTTATTTTTCAGCACTCTGGTACGTTTCATTACATGGGAATATTTGTGTTTCATAACATTTTTCATACGAAAACGATTAAGTTGATGTAGAAAATCTTCGATTTCGATTTTCACTCATATGCTCTTGAATGTAAAGAGCATAATTTAATCATTTTCGCTTATGCTCAAGCGCTCTTCATATACGCTCTCTTATGAGCAATCTCACTCCATCCAATCAGCTGCTCTTCGCTGCTTACTCTTTTACTCATAATCAGATCACTCATGCTTGCGCTCACGCGCTCTCGCGCTCAACTCAAACAAGCACACGCACACACAAGAAGAGCGCCTCAGCTGATGTGCGCCCCGTTACCCGCAGCAATTGGATCTATCAACAAGATCGCTCGACCCAACGAAACGTGAACGTGACTTGGCTCGCCTGTTTCGCCTCTATTTAATTTTTTTTATATTCATTTTCTTATTTTGTACGCCATAAATACACAATTGTTGTTGTTGTTGTTGTTGCTGTTGTTTTTTCGCTCATTGCTTTTGCTGTTGCTGGCCGCTCCTTTGTTTGGCAGATCGTTTGCCAGCCTCTGGCTCCCCCGCTGGACCCGCAACCTCCGCTCCATAAAACTAGCGCAAACTTTACTTTATTTTTGTATTTCATTTTCTTTCTCGTTTCATTGTCTTTGTCTTCGTTGTGGCTGTTTTGGGCTTATGCTCTTCACATGGGGGCTGCGCCGCAGCGGATGATTTGAGTGTTGTCTTGATTCGATTGTTGTTGTTGTCGCTCTTCTTCTTCTTGTTGTTGTTGTTGTTGCTTTGTTTTTCTTTTTGCTTTGTAGATGCACAGATACGTAAGTACGTATACAATTCATAGGCACAGCACAGAGGCCTGTCTTGACGTACGTGCGTGTGTGTGTTAGTTGCTTGCTTTTTAGTTTTGTTTATCGCTGTTTTCCTCATTTTACGCTTATTTGTTTTGAAATCAAATTAAACGACGCATAACAAATCAAGAGGAAAAAACAAGTAAAAACAGACGCTTTGCGACTAAACGTTTCCACAACGAGCTTTAGCATTTGATAGACTTAAGCTCCTGGAATATTGGAATATATCCAACTTTTAGCCAGAGAACCAGACGATGATTCAACTTCTGGCAACGAGCCCCCCTTTCAGAGCGAGTAAACAAACTTCCAACTGGTTGGGCAATTCGCATTCGCTTGCAAATTAATTTATAATATTGTATACACGTCTATAATAATATTTATAATATATTTTTAATATGAGTTTTATATTTTATCCCTCAATGAGCAGGTAGGTAATCGCTAATGCAATTACCCCAAAGCACAGTTATAAAATTACGTTGACATCGATATGTGTAAGCAGAGTGTACATACATACATACACACACACATACACAAAGGAACTATAAGTTCAAATGAACTGTTGAACTTTTTGCATAACTTAAATGCAGTTCAATGGGCAGAACAGGTTGATTTAATAATAATTAATCATTTTTTCAAATTTTGCATTTATTTTCATTTATATTTTTATGCTTAATTCCGTCAAGTGTGAACGTTCTTTTCCAAAAGTAACTGCCAAAACTAAAAAACGAGTGATCTGGCAACTCTCAAGACACAAACAGAAAATTCTCAAGCAATTCTAATATAAATAAAATCAAGGATCAGATCGAAGCATAAGTTGGGCAATTGGAGAATATATGTATATGCATGTGTATATATAATATTTGGCAATTACATGGACATGGCACAGCGTGTCGTATGCGTAATATGCGCTTATTGTCCCTTCTAACGACGTCATTTGTTTGGCTTAATTGCCAATAAATAATTGTAAAAAGTGCGCACTACTTGGCCATAAGAGTGCGTATGTATTTGTTGTTGTTATTGTGACACAAGAAATCACAAGAATTCGCACATCATTTTTCATGCTCAACGGCGATAACAACAGCTGCAAAAATATGCTGGCCTGTGTGTGTGTGTGTGTGTGTGTGTGAGTGCGCGCATGTGTTTGTGCGAGTGCTGCCACATCATCACGACATCATCAAAGCCTGCGTAAGCCAAAGCCAACCCTGACAGAGAGAAAGAGAGAGAGAGAGAGCGAGAGAGAGAGAGAGAGAGAGACGTCAACTGGGATCTGTGGCGCCGGGATTAGAGTTGCGGGATGCGGGGCCGTGGCAGCGTTTATCCTTTCTCCATGGCTGATCAAGCGCAAGTTACAAATGTCGAATGTTATTTTTGTCAGAGGACTTTTTCAATACGCCACCTTTTTTTCAGGCAACCCTTATGACAGCCACGCCTCCCCCCCCTGTCGCTGTCAGCCTGCGCCCAAGGTGCGATGACGCATCAGTTCTATTATTTAAGCAAAAAACCAAAAATATCTGCGCATTAGGATTTGACGAGTTCCTGGCTTTGACTGACATTGATGACAATGATGACACACAAACTCGTCCCTCGACCCGCTGCCGCAAGCACTTCAAGCTGAACTCAAGAGCTCTGTTCTTGACGCCTTGGCTTTTGCATGTGCAGGCGTCAGCAGCTGGATATAAACTTCGCCACGTGCTCCTCGGCTGCATCATTATTTATGCTCCGTTTCGCAAGTGCCCAAAGCCGCGCTATATAGCCACAATTCCAAGGAGTCTGACACTTGGAATCCTTGCTACTATCATTCATAAGAATTTCAGTTAATCAGATTCGTGAAAGAATCCTTTGAAATAGCTAGAAAGTTGACTGAAATTATCTTAAAAATCGCACAATTTTATGTGCAAATCATTTTTGACTGATTGCCAGAGAAATTTGGAATAACTTTGGAATGTTCATATGGCAGCTATACGATATAGTGGTCCGATCCGAATCAGAGTCCAGCTTGCTTAGACGGAGTTAGACGGACATGAATCTTGCGACTCGCCTGTCACATCTGGAGACTTTAATGGGTCGGAGATGTCTTTGTCTACATTTAATGAAAACATATAATCTTTTATATTATAACAATATACATCATAAATTAATGTATATTAGAGAGTTCCGCTTTCCTATGTCCGTCGGACGAGCTCGCAAGAGTCGTGTCGCGTTGCTTCCAAATTGGCCCAGAGGATCGTGTGGAACCTCCTCCAGCTTGAATCAAAGCTTTCTCAGCAAGAGTCATTGGAGAGGCTGAGATTCTTGTTCATTTAGGGATCGCTAGGCACAATTAAAGTTCTCGCCGATCTTCCCTTTTTCTTTTTTTCCCTCCTCTATATTAATACTATGAGGAACAACGATTCGAGATTCAATTCAAATTATATATTACACACGAGTAGAACTTCTAATAATTTCTTAAGAAAACGGGGACTTCCATACGAAATGTATAAAATTAAGATAATTTAAACAAATCGAATCTTCAATTCTCAGTAAAAATATTCATTTCGCTTTGCTTACGAAATATAAAATATAGTTTTATTAGGCAATGCATTTTAACTCGTAAGTAATGAACAATTGCATTGCAAAATCAAAATTAAATTATTTAGAAATATATTTTTAATTGTTAGCATAGAAATGTTAGACTTCCATATACATATATATAATATGATTATAATTTAAGCTATTCAGAAACAAGATCGTGAGTGTTCTAATCTTATCAGCTAGACAGCTTCCGCCTCGCCCTGCATGCGATAGATTTGCTTATGCAGCTCGACATTCACCAATTCATTGTGGAAGCTCCAATCGATGTCAAAGTCCAGATGCCGTATGCCGCGCTCCACCCGGAATTGGCCATCGATTACGTCGCCAACGCAGAGCGGCAGATGGGCGTCGATGTGGAAGAGGGCCTGCTTCCATTGGGTGGACGCGGCGCTGGGGCTGGTAGTGATGGGCTTCAAGTGGGTTGCGCCGGGGAAGCGGAAGTCAAAGTAGAGCACGAACCACTTGGCTATGGCCTGGCGCAGAGTGCGTAGCTTAAAGGGCACAGCAAAGCTCAGCTCGCTGCGTTGCAGCGTGCGCATGTCAAAGCGGCGCAGCACTTGCCGCTGGGTGAGCACCTGGGCGGCATCCACGCAGCCGATGGCAGGTGTTTGCTGTATGATGCGCCAGGCCTGCCGCAAGTCTAGCCCAGAGTAATGTGTCCAATAATGCTGCGGCGAGCTGAATCTGTCCGGCGAGTCGCGCGGCTGATTGGCAGCAGCTATATAGAGATTGGCCATGTGCGGAAAGATGCTGCCGCCGGGCTTGAGCCATTTGTCGCGCGCATATATAACAGCCTCCAGGGTCGAGCTGTACATAAGGCAGGCGCTACAAGGAGGAGGCAAAGTGAAGTAAAAGTTGATTGGGAGGAACAAATTTGGTTGTTCTTTGGTTTACCCCATCCACTTGGAGATAATTATGTCAACTTTGGGCAGTTGCAGCTGCTCCACATTGCCCTGCATCACCTCGATTACGTGCTCCAGCTGATTTTGGCGCACCAGCTGACGCGCCACTTGGCAGACGGCGCTTGGCTCCACGGCAATTACGCGGGCCGCGCCCTGTTGTGCCGCCCACAAGGACAGCAACGCACTGCCGCAGCCCACCTCGAGCACTATGGCGTTCCGGAAGAGATCGGCATTGGCTTCGATGGCCGCCTTGAAGCCCAGCATGGTTACCTCGTCCCGCATGACGACCTCATGCCGCTGCAGAAACTCCGCGTAGGTCTTCGCCGATATCGCAGCGGAATCCTCGCCTGCTAGGTTGTCTTGTTTAGCGGATGCATTGTCGTTAGTTATGGAATTGCTTTAATTTTTCTGAAATTATGCTAATTACCAATGCCAATTGGCGCTGCCCCCGCATTTTCTTTGAACGCTCGTGACGTCATTGTTATCGACTTTATGCGATAATTAACAGCGTTGCCGGATCGTAATGCAGCCGTTTAGTAGCTAAAAATGGATGCCAAAAATAGCTAAAGCCGCGCAACATTTTAATTGTTTCCGGCTGATAAGCTCTGAAAATAGCCAAATGTAGCTAGAAAAGGGTTTAGCTGGCAACACTATTAAATATCGATTAAGCAATTAAAATAGTATCGATATTGATAAAGTGCATCGCTACTTTATTAATTGGTGTTTTTTTTGTTTCTGCTGCAATTAAAAGTAAAACATTGCGTGAATTTATATTATAAATATGTCTCATAGTTTATTCCATAGTAAATTTTGAGCATATGTACTACACATGTGGCATTTGTGGTTACATTTATGGATGCACTGTTAAGCATCCCCACACGCGTCCTTCGGCGGCGTCTCCTTCAATATGCCCAGCTTGCGCAGCTCGCAGAGCACATCCTGCACGGACCCGAAGCGATTCAAGGTATAGAATTGTATGCCATGTACACCCAGATTAGCATCCAGTACCTGCTGAATGGTGCGCAGGGCCAATTGGACAAAATAACTTTTGACTTTCGCATCGTCGTTCTGATATTTCTCCACCTCGGCACGCGCCTCGGCCGGCAGACTTATTTTTGAGATCATTTCAATTAGCGCATACGACTTGAATGAATCCGGCACCACCACGCCCACCATTATGGGCGTCTGGATGCCGGCGTTGCGCGCGCCGCGCAGAAATTCCACAATTGTCTCGGGTGAGTAGCAAAGCTGCGTGATTATAAAATCCGCGCCGTTATCAATCTGTAAAAAAAAAAAACAAAAGTTGTTGAGAGCGCAGCTGATAAGATCTGGCCTATCAGCAGTTCTTTAGGTGTAGTATTATTGTTGAATAAAACCTCAAGAGTGTTTCTAGGCGGGCATGCCCGACTATACAATACCCAGAACGCAGCGCCGAGCTGCTTTTTTGCTATGCAGACATATAAACTCTACAATCGCAATGTGAGCTTCTTCTTCCTTAATCATCTACCAAGGCAAATGCATTCTTGAATATCTTCGGTGCTTAAAGTCCGATCCTTTTGAAATTTTCAGAGCTTAAAAATGGCATACAAAATTGTGTATATACCAAGGCCCAAGGCTATACCTCTAACTTTTATTTTATTTTCCTGCAAACTAATTTATTTGTTGCTTCTAGCTCTTAGATTCTTTGCGATATGCGATAAATAATCTAAAAAACGATATTTATCGATTTCGTGTATTGGGTTGATTTATCGATGAATTGAAACATACTTCCAAGTCAAGCCCAACTATAATCCCTTTTTTGACCACTTTCAATCTTTACAGGTTATACGAAAATATACCCTTGTGCAAGCTTTGAGCTTTAAACAAAATGAATTGCATATAAAACGCGTTTATAGCTTTCATGTGCTTTTACCTTCTTCTTTAACATTTCTATGCTCTCTGCTAAGCCCTGAGGTCCGCCCGCGTAGCCTTGAGGATGTCCAGCGACGGCAATTGATATGTTGACTGCAAATTAGATTGTCAAGTTGCACAATTCGAACTGATTGAGCCGGATACTCACCGCCGCGGACACGTCGAGCATGCTCGACCAGCTGATGGCTGTAGCGGTAGACCTGATCCTCGTGCGTTTTGTCGCCGCGCACGGCGAGCATATTTCTAAAATTCAAGGCGAGAAACTCATCAATGCGCTCCTTGGTCTGCCGAAAGAGACTCAAGTGCGGCATGGCCGGTATGTGCGTCTCCAGATTGCGTATTAGCTGCAGCGTCTCCACCCTCTCGATGGGCATTACATTCCAGTACTGGGGCAGCCACACGATGCTAATGAACGTGGGCAGCACGGGCAGAAACCCATTGAAGTCCACACAGGTTGGCTTACCCTTGGATTGTCCGGTTATCTCGATGCCATAGAAGAACTCACCGCGCGCAGTCTTGCTGGTCACCAGATCGGAAATATACGGCTGCTGTCCGGCCGACGCCTTCTGCTCGGGCGTGAATTGGAAGCACGGCTCAATGATTGGCGCCACAGGCGGAACGTCACTGAGATTCGTACCGAAGTGCTGTGCTCCGACCGTATCTACTGAATGCATTGCTAAATCAACGTCTATTGCGCTCCTCACACTTTGAGTCCGCTCAGACAACTGAAACTGATAGCAGCGTTTCTGGGCAAGAGCCGCTACGTTCCAGATTGCCGCCGTGGCCCGGCAGCGGGTCACGTTGACGCACATTGCGATCAGCTGAACCGATTTGCCCACCGTGACGTGACGCCTTGCTTTGTTTACATACAGGTTATCTTAATTAGTTTTCCTATGTGTGCTTGGGCTTACTTAGTCGAAACTCAATACACAATATGAGCATAAAAAACCTAATTTACTTAACTGACAACTGGAAGCCTATCCGAGCCCATAAATAATATTAAATGGAATTCTCCAAGTGAACTAGAAAAAGGGCTTTCGACTCGTTAAGTAGATGAGTTTCTCACTTGAGCAACGTAGATGAGAGTTCGAATTGCCCCTATTAATAGGAGTTATAGGAGTTTTCGACCCCCAACAATATGGTATCGCTTTTGCTTTACCTTATTATTATAGAATTTATGCAGATACGCAAGCTGTCATATGTTAAATTGTCCTCTCCCTTGACCAAGGTCTTTATTGATCTTCCTCAATTCCTTCCATAGGCATGTCCAACTCGTAGGCTTGGGCCTCGTCAAGCAATGAATCTTATCCAGCCTCAGAAAGAGGTCACAGTTAAAGTGCCCAATAGCTGTACGAAATGTGGCCCAATTCCCTATGATATCTTCCTTACCATTGACTCGCTGTTAGATAAAAATGCATCGAGCAAATGTTTGTTGTTAATCATTTTGTGAAGATCCGGAACATGTGCAAAGTCAGTGCAATCATTCTAAACGTGTTGCTCTTCGCAGTGTTTCCATATCTTGCCACAAATGTTGATTTCAGATATTTGTTGATCCTCTTGCCCAATTGACTTCTTTAGGTTCTCCTTTATGGTCTTGGATGAAGCGAGTTCGTTAGTTTGTCTATTTGTAGAATTCATTCTTGGCTCACAGTTCCTCGATGAGCAATTCATTACTTTTACTTTTAGTTTTTCTATGTCTTTGCTTTCAAACTTATCTGGACTCTACACGCTCAAAAATAGAATGAAATATGGAAATATATTGACGGCTCAGTCCGCCGAAATTTCCAAAACTGATAAGCTATAAGAAGTAGGTCAGGAACTAAAACATCCAAGTCATGGACCAGCTCTTAAGTGAGCTTCGTTGAAGGTTTCTTAACTTTGGCTGGATTTCGATATCATCTCAATTCGGGACCAACATTAAAGAAACTTATACAATACGGACTTGAATATGGTATCGATATTCAAATTGGAGCTTAAACCAACTCAACCCGAACCGAAGCATACTTTTCTCAAAAGTAGTTGGGTTTCAGCCAGGAAAGTCAGAAAATCCCCGAACCAATCAATTCAAATCTTCTGCCTTAATGCTACATAAATTACATGATTTTTCTATAATAATAGACTCCGTTTCGATGCAACCCTGCAACCCTGTTGAGTGTGAGGTTATGTTTTGTGTAAAAGACCACTCAACAATTGGATTTTCCAGTTGCCCATTTTGTGCAATTAGATTTTGTGTCTGCGTGTGCTTCAGTTACAAATGAGATGTTTCATTAAAACAATTTTCAAGTAGTTTGTTGCAATTCCTCGAAGCCAGCCGCACAAGACTCAATTCAACAAATTATAACAAACGCGGCTATTCATTTTCAATTTTACGATCATTTTCCGTATTTAATTTTTTCCTCGTTTTTTTTTTGTTTTCTTTATTTCTATTTTGTGGCGTTTTCTGAATGGGGCAAATTATTTGATGGCGTTAATTACAGAAATGCAGTCCATTTAGATTAGAGAGCTCCAAACGCAAATCAATTGATGTCGTTTTGGGGCATGGCATGTTGTTGAACAGAATGTGCCCCGAAATGGGGAGGGGGGCGGGGCGGTGCGGCAATTTTAATTGCTGTTCGCATGGCTTTGCCCGTCCACTTGAAAACATTTGCAGCAAACAATTCGATACGATACAAGTCGAAGCAAAGCTATATAGCCCATAGCCACTTGGGTTACGCTTGAGAGCCATAATCATAATTTAAATGCGGCTGGCAACACTCGAGAGTCATAAAAAACGAGATCGTGGAGCGTTGAATTGCCAGTCGACGAGCCAGAAGGAGGAGCTGGTGTTGCTGGAGCCTGGCCAAAAATTGAAACTCCAAATCGATGCAGAAGGCACGAAGACAGCAGCCAGATCGGACCCATCGGGCGTCAAGTGGCAATTAAAGATTCATTTTACTGCCTCGACTCCTCCTCAAAATTGTATTTCCAAATGTCTGCACTTAGCTCTGCACGCCCCGACATCATCCACCACATGCCACAAGCCCTACATATATATGTATATCTATATACATGAACCGGAGCTGCAAAAACCAGCAAGTAAAATACCTTAATAACGATTTGTTGCCTGGTAACATATTATACTTACCAATCGTACGTAAAGCATTGATATATGAGCTTTGCACAGATTTGTGCGATCTTGTGTTTTTATAACTATAATAAATCATTTGCTTCCCCTGATCGGGCATCCTCTCTAACTACGAACATTTCGTTTTTATTTTCCAGAAAGTTCCGGAACTTGACATGGACTTTACTTGGGATGCTATCTCAGTAGTATTTCAGTTAAAATGCTTAAAATTTGAATATATTTGCTGGTGAGTATTATAATAAATTCTCAGCTTAAAGAAGATCTCCAATCTTTTTATTTATATATCTATTTATTTATAAGGTAGTATAGTTTTGTAAATACCTTAAATCTAACAAATATTCTTAAAATTTTTTATAAAAATGGTTTGGTTCGGGTTCGCCTGATTTTATAACCAGAATTTAACTCAATGTTAAGTTCTCTATAAAATCTAATTGCTTAAAATTTATTCGGATAAATGTGGTTCGGCTTATCGTTAAAAAATTTATGAACTCAGAGAGCGAACCGCTTCCGTCTGAAGCTAGTATACAGCCTTGCTTAAAAGTAATTCTTAAAAGTGTATTCGGGTTCAATTGTTTTTAAGGAACTTTAGTTTCGGATTCGGTTCATCGTTTAAAAGTTATGGTTCGCTTCTTGTTTTGCTTTGAGTATTGGTCTATGGTAAAGACAAAAGGAACTCTCAAAGCAATCGGTTAGGCTAGAGTTTGCTTCCAGCGAGAAACATACCTTAAACCAAAATTTATGGTTCATTTCTTTAAAAAGATAGGAATTTAAGAGCGAACCAGTTCGGTTTGAAATTAGAATGAATATTAGAAATTAGAATTCATACAAATATGATTTGGTTCGGGGTTTTCGGAACTGGTTTTGGTTTATGATACTCCCAACTTAAAGCTAACTTCCAGCCATGATTAAAACGAATATCTACACAAAAACTAGATTCGGTTTTTTAGGAACTGGTTTCTGTGTAAATATCGGTTTGTGGTAGAAGATTTTGAAAGCGAACCGCTTTGGCTAAAACCCAATCTAAACCCTTGTTTAAAACTAAGTTATAAAATAATATGGTTCGGTTCATCTGATGATCGGGTAACTGGTTTTGGTTTAATGTTTGGCACATAATATATGAAAATCGTTGGGAATTATAGATGCGAACCGATTCGCTTCAAGGCCTTTTGAAAACAGAGCAATGTGTGCATATATAAGTTATATAATATGATTAAAATATATGTGTTTGTTGCCCTTGAAAATGGAATATACTTGGTTGGTTGCATATATGGAAATTTGTATACATATATGGGTATAGCTGACAATTGTGTCCCTCCAATTCCCGTGTTGGTTTTCGTGACGGCTTTTATGGGGCGACGTTAATAAAAATATTTTGTTATTTGTGATAATTTCAGTGATATAAAATTGTTTATGATTATTAGTTTTCGCTTAGGGAACAAACCCCAGACACGCAGACACTCAAACCATTTGGAGGGAATGTTTGGGAACGAGCACGAGAACCTGCTCAGGGCCTTTCCGAAATGCTGGCGACATTGAGAAAGTGGGCACTAAATCAGCTGCGGAGCCGCCGTCTTCGCCGCCTAATTACAAATTTGATGCAGCTGCAGAGGCAGTCGACGATGCCTTCAACGGACCTTGAAATATATTTCGGACCGGCATTAAAATTTGTTCGGGTTCGGCAAAGTGCGGAACATGTGGCACAGTCGCCCCTCAGGATGTCCCACGGCAGGGCATGGCTGTGTGTGCGTGCGTGCGTGTGTGTGCCTGCTTCGATCATCCGGACGAAGTGCGACGCATGGAACCTGTTTCACAGATTTTGCTTTGTTAAAAGGCCATTCTAAAATTAAAGCGTCGATTGTGTGGGGTAGAGATCGTGTCATATTGGTCTCTAATAGGACACAAATAAACATGAGCATAAAAATAAATAGCATCGTTGCCTGTTTGTCGCACATTATGAATTTATATGTACCCAGTTTTTTCACAATAGGCGGCAACAGCATTTGGAAATCTAAAGAATGAGGACAAGTCAAGCAATATGTGTTTGCAGGTAGCACCTGCCTCTTAAACCCCTGCAACAAGTATTACAACTTTGTCACGAAATGCGCAACGTCTCGGACATCCATATATATTTTCTTAATCAGTATCAAGAGAGTATTGTCGTGTCTGCTTGTTTCTATATAAACTTTTTACAACTCGAACCTAGCCGAATCGGATCATTATAGCTCACATATAGCTGACGATCAGTCTAAATTTATTCTCATCATAGACTATATGACTCTAAGGAAGGAATCGATTCTGACGTAAACTCTTTCATAGAAAATTTAGGAATTCCCTCCAATTCCCTACAATATGAATCGATCGGATATACATAGATATTTTTCTGAATACATAATAACAAGGCAAATTCTTCTGGTTACTTGATCGATTTGCAAATAACTGTGTACACACTGGCATCATTAATGAGTAGCTTGACTGCAGCAAAGTATCGATTCGTACGGGCGTTGCCAGATATCAACGTAACGAATTCAATTAGAAACAGCCTTGTTTTTTTATGCTTCGAATTAGGGATATTCGTGGGGGCTGCTTATTAAGCAAGGTAGTTTTTTATGATTTGTAAAAGAAATCGCCTAAAATTCCGATACTACCTGCAAGGGCAGGTAACAATATTTTATTTCTATTTAACCGTGTGATTTCCTGCCTCAACATGGGCAGCTCTCTAGTTGCGCACATATGGCCGGCACTTAGCTCTGTTTGAGCCTTGCGCTTGATTGAGTGGCCAGGATGATGATGGATGGTTGGGCTGTAACCCATTAACCGATTCGGGCTATCCGTTGGGAGCGGTTCGCATTTAACAGAGAGCATTCGGCAGGCGCACTGCCTGGTTTAATACAGATTTGGCGTCATATTTTTCATCAAAATGCCTGAAATGAAAAGCGCTGAGATTAAATTACAAGCCAAGAGACAAGAACACGCAAATCCGCCGCCCCAAAGGAAATGTGAAAATCTTTGATGAAATGCGGCAGCGCCAAGCGCCATGCCCGAGACCCGACTCCGGGATCCGAAACGGTGCCCCGCACCCGTTGATGCCACGCCCAATCTCCTACGCACCCAGCAGCAGAAAGGGGCAAGGTAAGACGTTGAGACGGCAAGGCGAGTATGGAAATGGAAATGTGCCTGGGCAGGGGGACGACATCATGCACCGCCCACGCATGAGATACATTTCAGATGCTGTGTGCCGTAATGTATGAGATACTTTGCTCTGTCTAAATTAAAAAATTCCATGGAGAGTGAAGCAAATTATAATGCTGCAGGATGAACAGAGCAAGCAGAGTGAGAGAGAGAGAGAGAGCGAGAGAGAGAGGGTGAAACGAAGAAAAATGTAATAAAGACATGAGTTGTGAAATTATTAAGATGATTATGAAAAACGAGACGAGTCTGCGAGTTGAGTGGTTCCACGCCAGCAGCCGGAGGAACAGCATTTTATAATCAGTCCGTAGACTATAAAGATGTGTACTTAAAAGCAACATTGCACGGACCGGGGCATCTAGGAGCTGCGTAAAGCTCCTAGGGGAACAATTGTCTTTGGTAAGACTCGCAGGAGCAGCAGGCGACATGACAAACGCGTAGTTACAAAATCTGATACACATGCATGTGTAGAGCAGAAGTTACTTGGGAACAGGATTATTGTGCATTTGTATTTTAATTTTGTCACCAAATGTGAAGAGGGGCAACTGCGATGCCACGAATCATCTATTTCCTTACCAGCCGGAGCCGACTGTCGGTCTGTTGCCAGGCCGAATAATCCATCATGAAATCTTTACTAAATTAAACTTGGCATACGTTCGTCTCTTTCCAGCAGGCAGGACACATTCAGAACTTAACAGAATCGGATGACTATATCATTTATGTCATGGACTTTATCGGTCAAAATTCCGTGTTCAGGTGTATATTTTTAGAAATATCACGAAATGTGAAACTGTGCTGCGCATGGAAGAAGTCGTTTCCGATAGCCATAACTATATGGATTCTTGATCAGTATGAACATCCGAGCAGATTCGCCTTTCTATTTCAGATAGCACATATGCTGAAATCGGTTGGATCAGACTAATACAAAACTCGCTTGTTTTTCATTATATCTGGTCCGGTTCTAACTACACTCTTAATATAATATATGAGCCGGAGTACTAGATTATAAAGCTCGAATAGGAATAATCTAGTGTGGCTCAGTATGGAAGTCTCTGCGTCTGTAAGGGTATTCCGCGGCATTTATTTTTTTTAGATTCCATTGAAATTGATTTCTAGCTGATCCACATATAAATCCACCCAGTTGAATGAATGAATCTTAATCAAGAGTATATTTTATGTGAAACACAGATATTAAAGAATCATTTTTTTTAGTATAGAATCGAATGGAATTTTCCATAAAGCTGCACCACTCGCCGAGTGCGCAGTTCGCAGCGCTTTCGGGGGTTGCTGTTGATATTATTCTATCACAAAACGGGGGTGCATTCACCACGAATGCCAGATGCCAGCCGAAAAGGACGAAATTATTTTACCTATGCCATGGGGCGATTGTTGCTAGGCGCGCTTGCAAAGGACAAAAGGGCCAAAGGACGCCGCATGAAGGACTCGTAACACTCGTAACTGGGTGAGTGGGCTGCCTCTGCTTTTCCAATGACTCACTGACTGACTGGCAGACTGCCAGAGTGACAGACCAACTATTGGGGGTTGTTCTGCAAAGCGAAGTGCGTTGCAGAAATCGCATCGTTAAAATAGCTGAAAAATCTGTAATGAATGCCGCGACGGCTGCATGAATGGGCGGCAGGCGAACAACCCTCCAAAGGGGGTGGGCCACAATTGAAAGCAGGCGCAGCAAAGGACAACGTGCGGTTGTGGTTGCAGCACCTTTCATTTACGTGTGTGCGAGTGTGCGTGTGTTGCAAATCTTTCTGAATTTGCGTCATCAACATCATCATCGCATCAACCCCTGCTGACTGGCTGACGCTGCCTGGCTGCCTGGCTGCGAACGTGCCCGGCACGCATCGCTCTCACTTTTATCCTTTGGGTCCACCTCTCCATAGGCTTAGTTCCTGGTTGTCCCTGCCCCTGCCCGGCAAAATCTCGTATGAGTAACTGACATAATTAGGTCTTAACTGGAAGTCACGCGCGACGCATTCGTAATCTGAGTCCCGGCCAGCGCCGGCGACGACCACGACCACGACGACTCTCTCGGAGTTTCTATTCAAGGTCACAAATTCATATCGGGGTGCGCTTCAAATACGATTAACTCGCTCGACCCACGACGCCAGATCGGTTCCAGCTGTTGTTATGCGAGGTCGAGTGATTTGTGATATTCAACTCTGACAAATGTCAAATTTTTAAAGCGCGACACCTCAAACATAGTCTGAACCCATGAGTCGAATATTTTGGTTGAAGAACATTTAAACCTAAACACAACCATATTCTTTTTGACTGACCATTTGATTCTTTAGATTGAAAGAAAATAAGGTTCGCACCCAAATCGAACCTTGAGGCAAGGCATTGCATGCTTTGCTTGTTAAATAATTCCTGGACTTTACTTTTTGGTAATAAATTTTCTGATAATTTTAAATAAATTTTCCATATTATATAAATCAAATTCTCTTTAGACCCGCTTTCATTGGTATTTTGTGATTTTAAGCAAAATTAAATTTTGCCAATGACTAGTTAGCGATAAATGTGCGTAGCCCCTTTTTATTCACTAACAAGAAATCACATGCACATGAATATGTACAGTATGCCAATAAATGTTTTTACTAGCGAAAAATATATTTTTTTTTGGCTTAGGTGTACCTAAGCGTGAGTTTTGTTTTTCGTTTCCAATGCATTTCGATTCTTTATTTTTCGTAGAACTTAAAAGCATAAAAATGATTTAATTAAATTATTTAGAGATTTTATAGAATTAAAAACATTCAAATCTTTTGCTGTCAATAAAGTGTTTTTACAGCAAAGGTAAATTCTTTTGAGGTTCTCTTTGCGGCGATATCGTTAGAATTGAGACCATGCATTTTGGCTTCGCTTATGACTTCGGCTTTTCTAGTCATTTTCTATTGCAATTTGTAACATTTGGATTCAATTCAGTGAAAATTGTATTATAACCATCAGATGGGACGCCAAGTCTCGGAACTGTCTGATATGTTTCATTTATCGAAACGAAGGATATATACAACAAATTGAAGAGGGCCAATAAGGAAGATAGGCTAGAGGCAACGCCAGTAAGTATGCCGTTAATTTGTAGGAAAAATAAAGAACCGTAATCAACTATAAATAAAAAAAAAAACAAGTAAGAGGTTCTAGTCGGAAGTTCCCAACTAGGGTTTACCCTGAACCCTCTTCTTCCAACATCAAATGCATAAATATATTCTATTTTAGAAGCTATATGTCAAGTTTGGTGACCCTAGCTCTTATTATTTACCAAAACTGCCCAAAAAACAGGATATCGATATCGATTTTTATCGATTGCTTGGTAACTGAGTAAGTTATCGATTATCGGAAACAAACTCGATCTGCGCGGGAACTAGGAGCATCTAAATCTATAATTTTAAGTCTCTAGCTCTTATAGGTTCTGAGATCCTTGCGTTCATACATACGGACGGACGGACGGACGGACGGACGGACAGACAGACGGACATGGCTAGATTGACTCGGCTATTGATGCTGATCAAGAATATATATACTTTATGGGATCGGAGATGCTTCCTTCTGCCTGTTACATACATTTGGATTTCGGACAAATACAATATACCCTTATACCCATTTTTAATGGGTTCAGGGTATAAAAAATATGAATCCAAAAAATCATTTTTTTTTTTTCGTTAGTAAAAACACTTTATTGACATACTGTATGTAGGTTAAACCGAAGACTTCAGGCTGCAAATGCACTTGGGAATTCGTTATGTTCAAGTCTCACACACA